ATGGACTAGTGGCCAGCCAACAGACCAACTCAGCGACTGACTCAGTGAGCTGGCGGTTAACCTGCCTGCCTCTCCAAAACCCTAGATAACCAGCTGACTAAATGACCAACAGGCTGATGAACCCACCTACTCATGGACTGACCGAAGACTGTGGAGAGGACGAGGGCAGATTGACCGACACAATACAGAGAGCTGGATTGCCAGGACTCCACACAGTGAGGACTGCTCCCCAAAGGAGGATCAGATACGATAATACATATATACAAAAAAGAGAGAAAGAGGTAGCGGATGCAAAAAAAAAAAAAAGACAAAAAACCAAAATATCCACTATCCAGTGCAGAAGAAGAGGACTCTGGTGAGCAGGCTGGAGTCAACCCAACTTGATTGACGTCCAGAGTTGCATAAGGAGACTGGGAGATTCCAATCAAATGGCAAGATGCTGTTACGGTCTGTTTTGTGGCGACTGAATCAAATGAGCAAATGAGCGAGTGACTTCAGCTATGGCCTCTCTTTGACATCCTTCTGACCCTCCTTCTGTCTCCCATCATGAGCACAGCAGACTCATTCATTCTCCTGCGGTCAAGATGTGGGGTCATAAAAGGCAGTCATGGTGCTCTTCTGGTTGTAGGATTATGCATGATTATTTTTCCTTTCATTTTCTAATTATATCCTCTAGTGGAGCTGTATTAATTTGCAATGGAAAAATCACATTTATAGTTTTAGAGGGAAAAATAAAAACAAATTTGGTCCCTTCCTCTCTCTTGTTCCATACCCAATAAATATTTCTTGATTTATGGATCCAAGGAGTCTTCAAGGCTTGCCTCTTTTTACTTCTTGATGTCAACATAGTTTATTGAAAGCCTGCTAGCCATTTCTCTCTTTTTCCTAGATTACTGGAATAGCTTTCACAGTCTTTCCCTGTTTAAGTGTGTTCTTTATACAGATACTAAAAGAATTTCCATCACATTCCTCCTTCTCGAGAATGTCCACGGGCTTCCAAGTACTCATCTGATTATAAACTTTAACTTCTTAACATAGAATCAAAGGACTTTGAATATCCAGCTCTCTCTCCACATCCATGCAAAGATGAACACACAGACACATGTGCGTGTGCACACAAATGCTAGCTAGCTGTTCTAACTTCTCATCACTGCCCAGGGCCTTACTCTAAATTCTTGACTCAGTTACATGTCTCACAGTTTCTTCTCAGCCAGGAATGGAAATCCCACCCCCAAGTTGTGCCTGTCACTCTGATGAACTCATCCATCTATCGATCAAGAAGTATTTACTAAATACCCAATACTTGCCCAAGAATGCAGGTACTGTGGAATCTCTAAAGACGGAATGGAGAAGGGTCCTGACATTTCCTGAGTACTTACCATTGCAAGCATTGAATTCATGTAGGTGATCTTTGAGCATCTTCAGTGAAATACGGTATTATCTCCATTTTACAGATGAAAAACTGAAACACAGAAAGGTCAGGCAAGGTCATTTATCCAAGGTCACATGGCTAGGGAGCAACAGAACTATGATTTGAAACCAGATGTGCCTAACTCTGATGCCTTTGCTTTACCACCCAGTTGGGAAAGCCAGCTATG